CAAAACCTTGAACAAATATGCAATTGGGAATGATCAATTCATGGGACCAAACAAGATCACATGTCAAAATCGAGCAAAGTTACCATAAGTAAAAAGTATGATGAGAAAGAAAAAGATGTTCTCCAAAAGTGTAAAGTAAACTGTAGTTCCATTTAGACATGGAACTACATTCTGTACTCACTCTTTGCCACTCAAATCCATTTTCCTAGTCCGAGAATGGAACATGTCAACTATATCTGCAGATGTGCTACATTCCTCGGGGCTTCTATCCGAGACAGAGCGAATAAATCTAGGAAATCTATTTGGGATACCCCCATAATCTATGCATTTTACAACATCCCCACAACAAAGAAATATATTGCATAGATTTTTCGACCTTTTCTTACAAAAAGTCAACAGAAAAACCCAGTATAGCCACAGCTGATATTAAGAAGGTCAAGACTGCTTCTGCAAATAAAATTGAGATCAGAAGTGTTTTTGCCACTTTTGACAAGAACAAGGATGGCTTTATAGCAAAGCATGAGCTCAAAAAATCACTCAAGAACATTGGAATTTTCAAAGGAGAAAAGCATGTTGCTGAAAACAATGAAGACCACAACTTGCAAAGATAAATTTTGAAATAGAGAAAGAAAAAGAATTGTCAAAAAACATTCTTCACATAAAAATGAATAAATATTGCAGTTCGACATCAAAGTAAGAATATCGAAAACCTGCATGACTAAAAAAATTAGCAAAATCAAACATATTTTAGTCTTACACAAGTCCAGTAACAAAGCTCCCCTATTCGTATATATATACCAGTTTACCAAGAGAATAATTACACATATCTAGAATTCCACAAATCATTACTCTACTATAAAGTATAAATACACATAAGCATAAAATAAACATAAACCAAATACACATCCACAATAGAAATTAGAGAAAAAACAATACCGGATTGGCGGATTTTCATTCCTCTACTCATTTATACACAGTAGAATAAGCGTTAATACTAAAACGAACCTTCAAACTGTTGAAGTATAATCTCTTAGCAACAGCGCCATCCACATAATCCATACTTCTCAGTACTCCATCTGCAACACAGAAGGAAAAAAAATGGTAAAGAAATGGATATGAAATCCATGGTTCTAAGACGAGAAGTGTGAAGCAGAACATGAGACCTTGATACAACCAATGAAAGAGAAACAATTTTTGTTGATGAAGATAATGACCGACTAAAGATGTTGCGTTAATAAACAATTAATTCCAGTTTCTGAGAAAGGGTTCGAATTACACTCGAGAAGAGAAATTTCAATATCCAAGCACTATTAAGTCCAAAACATCATGACAATGCTCACATTGGCAAACAAAAATAGTTTACGATTACTCAAAGGACACCCTTCAATATTCTAAATCACAACTCCACATAATTAATTAATCAATCTATCAAGGTGCAACAACTGCAATTCGTCCAACTATTAAGACAACAACATTATTCAACTCCTATTACTCAAAATAGAAAATGAGATAAACCAAATACATCATCAATTTTCGCAAGCTCACTCGATTCTGGACAAAATTGTAGGCGACCCATGGTGGTGTTGGATGCGCTTGATTGGGAGGAGTGGAGTAGTGGTGGTCCGCGATCGAAACGGTGGCCGACGGCGGTGGAAATATGGCTACAATCGTGACTGGTAGCTCGGTTTTGGGTGGTGATTGGGGCTGTTTTCGGCAACTCCGTGGCCAGGTGATGACAAAAGGTTGAAGATGGAGGAGAGGGGGTTCGAATGGTAGTGGGGTATAGTGGTCTCAATGGTCGGTGGTGGTCGATTGTTGAGGAAGAAGGCGGCGGTTCTTCTAGCTCTCCATTCTCTAACGCACAGTTATGAAGAAAGAGTTGGCGTTTTCCGTGTTTTGAGATTTTACTCTGTTTTGGCTTGAAAATACCCAAAACTTCATTTTTGACGTTTTGAGTTTTCAAGCCAAATTTTTTTTTTTTCGAAAATGTGATTTTCAAAACGGAAAAGAAAACGCGTTTTCACTATTTTGAAAATCGAAAACAGAAAACGGCTTGAAAATAGCAAAAAGAACGGACCTTAATTTACCGAATTACAAAATAATAATTAAAAAAAAATCGAGTTACGCTAGTCATTTATTAGATGGAAGAAACATAAAAAAATAAAAATCTATTTCACAAAGACCAAACATGTACAATGAACAAGTAGAAGATTCAATTCATAAACAATGTCCATAATGCATGTAGTATGAAGGGAGAAAATTATCACTTGAGTGACCTTGTAGGGGCTTTCCCATTTTGGCCTAAGAGCTCTACATCTTAAAATAATTTCATTAGTATTAAGAAATTTCATTAGACGGCCCCAATTCATATCTGTCTCGTACTTGGAGCAAATGACCTTGAGAGTTATTTTCCTAAAAAAGGGGCATTAACACATTATATCATTATTGAGATTTAAAATAGATATTTTGAACACAAAGTGCATGATAGAGCATGGGGTACAATACTATTGTATAATGTGTAGCGCTCGACACATTTCAAATGATGGAAGTTAAATTTGCTGATCTCATTACTAGACTCTAATGCTTTGTCAAGTATGTGTTTATCTTGAACTCCTCGTAACCTATTGAACTCAAAACTGTTTTGACCACTCTAGCTCGACTTTACTTTAGATACGATTGGGTTCAGTCTATTAATTTTGATGCGTGCTCCGCAATTATCATGTCAAAAAAATGAAACTAGGATTGCAAATGTGGATACACAAATATAGACTTGATAACACTGCTTTTGTATAAATTTCATCTTAATATAGTCAAGATCTGACTCTCCACATTAAAAGTTGATAATCCAAGTCATAACTACTTCAATTTTAATGCAACTTATTCGAACACGTGATTTTTTATTAACATAACTCGCTACTTCGGTTATTTTGTAAATGATAGCATTTTAATAATTCTCTATATCAGTGATATACAAAATCTTTATCGAACTTAAAAATGCATAAAAGTAATAATTTGTATCAATTAAGTCACTCCATGACTAGTTAAGCAACTTTACAATTTAATTGATTAACTAAGTACTCGTTTGGTAAAGATTAAAATCCAATTAAAATTGAAAATATAGCCATTATTGGATCCCCCATCATCTAATAAAAGTCAGCAATAACGGCTAATTTTTCAATTTTAATCTGATTTTAATCTCTATCGAACGTGTTCAAATTTTAATTTTAATATATAATCCACCTAAATTTTGTTCTACTGTCAACTTTACGAGTCAAATCAACCGACCAATTTGACTTAAAAAAAAGAAAAATTCAATTTCTTAAATTCTCAAGTCTCCAGAGCGTTCGCACACCAAATTCCAGAACCCTATTTAGTGCTAACGCAAGCAAATAAACAAGAGGAAACATGATGAGCCTGGAGGGGGCCTCATCTACATCCTTCGTGTTCCCAGCACAGAACTGTGTCCAAGAAAACCTAAGAACAAGTAAAGTATTTTTGCCTGATTCCTTTCCTCAACCCACTTTATACACCTTGACCCCCACCATATCAAAAGCAAATAAAAAATGAGAAAAAGTAAACGAACAATTTTCTCTTTCTTTGATCAACAGCAGTGCACCACATGTATTGCCAACCCTATTCCAACGAGGAAAAAGGAAACACACACCACAAAACGTAATCAAATTCTTGGAACCATCATTTAATATTGCTACTACTTAGCATTATGATCATGTTGAAAAGACAATTTCATAGTAAGCTGTACAAAAAATGATTAAGATCAGCAATCATGCTTTAATCCACTTGACTTTGAAGGTGTTAATTGATTATATGATCAAGAAAGCTATATAATATGGACACTACGTTGGGTGAACTCCTCTCTTTGCCCAGATGCTGCATATTTTAGCTCATGATTAGACTTTTTCTTTCCTCTTTCTTTCACTACAAAAACTTGGCTTCCATCTGAACGTTTTTCTTCAATTTCAAAGATTGATTTTCACTGTGCAAAGTTGTTTCTTGAACTTTTAAAAGATACTCCTGCTGTTTGTTTTCATAAAACAAAAGTATAAAGCAAATCCCAAAGAGCTCTAATTTCAAGAACCAGTCATAACATTGATTTTTCTTCAAGCCTCCTTTTGTGTTCTTGAGGTGAAGCAGTTGTTGGGAACAAAACCTTGAAACCCTTTTAAAATTTCAAGATTTTTCTCATCAAAATCAGTTCTTGAGGTGTTTAGGGGTCAAAAAAAGTAGTTATTTAGTATGTGTTTTTTGGGTTTGAATTTTGGGATGGGTACTAAAATCCTTCTGCTATTTATGATGGTAAATAGTGGGTATAGTATTGGGGCTAATTGGGGTACACAGGCATCTCATCCCCTGCCTCCTTCAACTGTTGTGAAATTACTAAAAGATAATGGAATTCAAAAGGTGAAGCTGTTTGATGCTGAATCAAACGTTTTGAATGCTCTGAGAGGGTCAGGGATTGAGGTTATGGTGGGCATCCCAAATGATATGTTGTACACTCTTTCTAATAGTGTTGATGCTGCTGAAAGATGGGTGGAGAGGAATGTTTCGGTACATGTTTCATCAAATAGTGTCGACATAAGGTAAATTTTCTTGCCTTTTTTCGCTTCTGGGCTCCTATAATTTTGCCAATAGTGTTGATGCTGCTGAAAGGTGATTTTATATGAACAAGTACGATAAATTTTGCTGAATTTTCGATTCTTTGATGTTTGAGAAACACTTCTAAAGATTTTGTTTGAGGAGGTAGATGCGTAAGGTTGTTTGACGATTAAGGAAAGGTAGATTATGCTTGAGAAGATTGACATCGTGAACAAATCACTGCAGCAATGGTAGTTATGAATTTTAAGAAGATAGAGAAGAGATCTAGACATTGACTACAAGAAAATTTGGTGCTAAAATCTATTCTTAAAGATATGTAGGAACTTCATTTAAAAATTCGATAATTATCTATCTGTCTTTTTGTTTTTGCTGACTATAGGTTTTTAATTTAAAAGGTATGTTGCAGTAGGGAATGAACCGTTCCTATCGACTTACAACGGAACCTTCCTTTCCACAACTTTTCCAGCTCTTAAGAACATTCAGGCAGCCCTGATTAAAGCCGGCCTTGGCAATCGAGTGAAAGTCACTGTCCCACTCAATGCTGATGTATACCAGAGTTTGACCGAGCAACCTTCAACTGGCGATTTCCGGCCTGATATTCATGACCTCATGATCGAGATTACTAATTTCTTGAGTCTTAATGCAGCTCCGTTCACTGTCAATATTTACCCATTCATAAGTCTCTACAATGATGCCAACTTTCCAGTGGATTATGCCTTCTTTGATGGATACTCATCGCCTATCAATGACAACGGGAGGATATACACCAATGTGTTTGATGCGAATTATGATACCCTGATATGGGCTCTTCAGAAGAATGGATTCGATAACTTGAGCATAATAGTCGGAGAAATTGGTTGGCCAACGGATGGCGACAGGAATGCAAATAACAGGTTAGCACAAAGGTTTAATCAAGGTTTCATGTCCCATATCTCGGGAAACAGGGGGACCCCAATGAGACCAGGCCCCGTGGACGCCTACTTATTTAGCCTAATCGACGAGGACGCCAAAAGTATCCAACCAGGTAACTTTGAACGACATTGGGGAATATTCTACTTCGATGGTACGCCAAAGTACAATCTCAGCTTGGGTGGCAAATCAGGAGGTGTGGTACCAGCAAGCAACATTAGGTATCTGCCCCGTCGTTGGTGCGTGCTCTCATCCTCTGCAAATCTTCAAGATCCTCAACTAGAACCCAGTGTAAGTTATGCTTGTTCTCATGCTGATTGTACGAGTCTCGGTTATGGGACATCTTGTCAAAATTTGGATGCTCGGCAAAACATTTCGTACGCGTTTAACAGCTATTACCAGGAAAACAACCAGCAGGACAGTGCCTGCAGATTTCCGAACCTTTCGGAGATCACAAACAATGATCCATCGGTTGGAGAGTGTAGATTCAAAATCATGATCCAAACCACAAATTCCAGGAATGGAGGGTTCTTTCTAGAGCCAGTTAATATGTTGCTTCAAGTGCTTATGTTCATATTGTTACTCCTGTTGTGATGGAATAGAAAAGATACTCTTGGTTAATTGTTTTGCCTTATAGTGGGATGCAGTACAAGACAAGGCTCGACAATACTATTGACAATATTTTAGTTCTATCGAAAATTTTGTTGTCCAATCTGTCTTTTGAAATATGTCATTATTCTATAGTTTTATGTATATTATGTGTCATACCTTGTTATCATCATCGGCTGAGACATAAGGTGATATAATTTTTGAATATAGTATTGACCTGCGATCAAAAACATATTTACAAGTTTAAGGAAGTTTTATTATTTGCATCATTACAAAAGTAAGATTGTGCTCAGAATAATGTGTTTATTTATGCATACAAATATGAAGTAAAATATTTCAATATTTTTCATTTATAGTGTTACGACAGTGTCCTATTAATACCAACTTAGGCACCAAACGTGATTATTGGAGTTAAAACTCCTGATTAAAAAGTTGATCGAAACCTCTGAATAATCGTGCATAGTGCTCTTAATGGTAAATATTTTAATCATGACTAAAAATAAGTGTCAAGAACATGTTTACTAAGCTTAAAAGTAAATTGAATATATTTTAAATAAATTGTTATTTTCAAACACATTCAGATGTTATTTTTCAAAAGAACTAAGGCCCTGTTTGATTTACTGAATTTTCCAGGCAATTGTTTTTCCATTTAATCCTCACGTGACCACTTTTTCCTCAGAAATGAGGAATTCATTTTCCCAAATATTTGGTGGTTTTTTATTTTCTTGGCAAGGGGGAAAAACGGTGCTGCCATGGGAATCAGGTCGCTGGCCAAGAAAAAAGGGGTGGATCCTATCAATTCACTGGAAAAACCAGTGGGTCGGGTTCGGATTTACAGCAATTTGAGAGCAAATTACTGGGAGGTTGAGAAGAAGTTGAGGAGGGGATTGAAGTCGTAGTGAAGGTTTGGGAGGGTAGCGACGTCATACGGGTCGTCCATTAATTCTTCATATTCTTTGTTGGTGAAATTCTTTTGTTGTGCGTTGGTGGAAGAGGCGGATGAATGGGTGGAAAAGAGTGGAGTTCGAAGGAGAAGAAAATGGTGCTGGGGCTGGTGCTGGTGGCGGCAGAGGAAAATCCGGTGGAGGGAAATCTGGTGCTGCTGGTGGAGTTAATGGCGGATTTTAGGTCGAATATGGTGGAGGGAAATCTGGTGCTGCTGGTATCAACGCCGGAAGACAGGGCGGCAGTGGTGGAGGAAGGCACGATTTCGGCAGTGGTGGGAACGAAGGCAGTGGTGGGAACGAAGGAGAAGGCACGATTTCTAGGAACTCAGGAGATTGGCAGATTGCAGTGAAAAAAAGTGGAAAATTAAAGCCAATCAAACATGAAAGATGAAAATTTTTCACATTTTTCAACTGAAAAATTATATCAATCAAACACACATAATTGATAATTCCCAGTAAAATGATTTCTAAGCAATTCATTTCCCCTGAAATTTATTTTCTTTCCACCCATTTTCCACCCTTGCAATCAAACGCACCCTAGTTATTTTGACAGTAAAGTCAAAAGTTTACTTTCAACTTGATTATTTTAACTTGGGAGCAAAACAATTAATTAAGTAAAAATGTAACCCGGTCCAAGATATTATTCGGTCGGGTCACTTAGATCCTTCCAGACTTGAAGAATAGTGTTATACCCAAAGCATCAGAATCTGTACCATTCAGCCCTCACTCGAAACACTATAAATATAAGCAATACGCGCAGAATGCACGCAGCTCTCTCAATTTCTCCCCCTCCTCGAACGAAAAGAATCCAAAATCAAGAGAAATTATTGCAAAATATAGATTAATTAAGCGTTTAATCTCGCTGTGTGAGTAATTAGGTTACATAAACAGAAATGGATGCGGCTAGGGATTCCGAGGCGGCGGAGACGGCGACGGCGGCGGCGGCGGAGGAGGAGGAGCGGAAGGAGCAAGAGCAGGAAGAAGAGGATGAAAATGAGATTTTGATAGCCAAGGCGCAGGTGTTAATTGAAAAGATCACTTCGAATCCGGAGAACCCTAATCCCAATGCTCTCCATGCTCTCTCCACTATTCTTGAGGCCCAGGAATCCAGGTACAAATTATATTTCTCACTGTACAACATCTAATGAAGAATTTTGGATGGAGCATCTATTATGAATAATTTTTTTAATTTTTTTTTTCGGGGTGTTGGGGTGGGATGACGTCATGACCTGCTAGTTAAGATACTGTATCGGCGGCCAAACTTAAATTATTAATGGTAGTCGCACTCACTGGTGAAATCTACCTCTCTTAAACTTTAGGTGATGAGATGTTTTCCATTCTTGTAGTAGAGAAGATTGATTTATATGATTCTTCTTATACTTTTATTTTGATGTCACACTTGCGAAGTTAATATGTTATGTATATTGGTAACACTGTTTCTTTTGGAATGTGTAGGTATATGGAAGAGTCCGGCCACTTGTCAACGAACAATGGCAGGTCTTCTCATAATGTTGGGCAACTGGGGAACCTCATACGGGTACTTTAAATTTCCTTGATGGATTCCTTTATCTATGCCACTTTATCTTTTGCTCTGTAACATTAGAATGCTCATATTATTACACCTCTTTTTACAGGATAATGATGAATTTTTCGACTTGATATCTTCGAAATTTCTGTCTGAAACTACATATTCAGTGCCCGTAAAGGCAGCTGCCACGAGGCTTCTTTTTGACTGTTCACTGACTTGGAAGGTATAGCAATTATTGTTATTTTTTGGTTATTTGTTTGTCTCATCATGTTGAATTTCTTTAAATATATGTAATTTGAACAGTACCCACATGTATTCGAAGAAGATGTTTTATATAATATAAAAGGATGGGTGATGGACGAGACACCCAGGACATCTGTTGATGATCACAATTGGAAGCACGAATCCGGGAGGAGGAAGACATTTGACTCTGAAATGTTACGAACATACTCTACTGGTCTTCTTGCCATGTGTTTGGCTAGGTACGCCCTCAAGAGCTTTATTTAGTAATTTATTTTTATAGGGGTTTTCTCTTTCTTCTTGTAACTTTTTCTTGTTGGGTTTTGGTGATTCTAGTGGTGGTCAAATAGTGGAAGATATGTTAACATCTGGGTTGTCAGCCAAGCTTATGCGATATCTTCGTATACGGGTTTTGGGGGAGACAAGCACAGGCCAAAAGGATGCAAATTCATTGATTGAGCACAGAAATGCATCATCCATGTCTTGTGCAAAATCAAGAGAGGAAGGTAGGGGTAGGTTGCGGCAAGTTGCTGGCAGTTCTCACATGGATGTCCTTAGAGTACAGGATGATGGACCGTTAGATGGTACTGATAGGGATCACGTCAGGAGCAGTGAGCAAGGAGGTGGAGATGAATGTTGGGTTGATGAAGAACCACCTGATAGAAGAATGGTCATTGAGGTTGATGATTATGAAGCAGAAGCAGATGGTGAGGAAAAATTCCATATAAGAGATTCACATGAAGCTAAAACAAAACCTGGTGGCAAATACCACAGGGAAGAAGATTTTGATGAAATTCCCAGAGAGGACTCTTCGAGACGCAGGTTAAATCGTGGACTGGCCAGATCAAGAGGAAAGGGCAGGGTCAATGAAGGAGTATTAGATAATGAACAACTGGCCTCTCCAGTTTCTGGCAGTAGATCAGTACATGGCCGAAGTGGAAAGGACAGGAGTCTGACAAGAAGTCAGGATTTGAGTAGGACTTCCGATGCCAAGAAGGGCTTAGGAAATAATAATGCTGATGCTTTTGTCCTGGAAAGAGATGACAATGATGACTGTTTCCTAGAATGCAAGGTTGGCTCCAAAGACATTGCTGATGTGGTCAAGAAAGCTGTCAGAGCTGCTGAAGTTGAAGCAAGAGCAGCCAACGCTCCAGCAGAAGCCATAAAAGCAGCTGGTGATGCTGCTGCCGATGTGGTTAAGAGTGCTGCTTTAGAGGTGAGCACATTTTTCTCTCTTGCTTTTTTAATGTTATATTCAAGTCTAATTTCTAAGTATTTGCGTTGCATGTGAATATAGGAGTTCAAGAAAACAAATAACGATGAAGCTGCGATGATGGCAGCTTCAAGAGCGGCATCAACAGTTATAGATGCTGCTAACGCAGTTACAGTATCAAGGTTGGCATTTGTTTTATATTCAAGATATCCTGAGCATAGTTTGGCAATGGCTGATATGTTCATTGCATTATTTTATATCTTATGATTGTTTATTAATTTATTCTAGATCCTCTCTTGACTTGGTATAGGGGTTCAAGTAGCGTTGATGATGATTCAGGGAATTCAAAACCAACAGAACCAGAACCTATTGAAGATATTGGTGAATTCTTCATTCTTGATAGTCACTCCCTTGGGAAGCTGAGGGAAAAATTCTGTATCCAGTGTCTTGCGATTTTAGGGGAGTATGTTGAAGTTCTTGGTCCTGTGTTACACGAAAAGGGGGTGGATGTCTGTCTTGCACTATTGCAGCGAAATTTTAAGCATGAAGAGGCTTCTAGCTCAGCTCTACTTTTGACCGACATTCTGAAATTAATCTGTGCATTAGCTGCTCATCGGAAATTTGCTGCATTGTTTGTGGATCGTGGTGGCATGCAAAAGTTGCTCTCTGTCCCTAGAGTTGCACAAACATTTATTGGTCTGTCGTCCTGCTTATTTACAATTGGTTCAATTCAGGTAATGTTGTTTAACCTGTATGTCCTAACAATTGTTTCTGAGAGTGCATCTACCTTTGCTGTTTATTTTATGCCCGTAGAGATTATCTATGTATTTTTATAGAATCTGTGCAAGTCATTGGTTTTATTAATTTTACCATCAAGCTGGTTTTGACTTGAATGGTTATTTTACAGGGGATAATGGAGCGTGTATGTGCCCTTCCTTCAAATATTGTCCACCAGGTTGTCGAGTTGGTTCTTCAACTTCTGGAGTGTCCACAAGATCAGGCTAGGAAAAATGCTGCATTATTTTTTGCTGCTGCTTTTGTCTTCAGAGCAGTCATC